CTCAACACCTGGATGAAGGCACAGGATACAGTGAAGGTGAATCTGATGCAGAAGTTAAGGCGCAGATCGGCAGAGCAAAGGCTTTATTTTTATAGCTGACCAACACCTGGCACTCAGAGAAACTATCAACCGACACCAAAATCAAAATTTTCCATACAAAAGTCAAGACAGTTCTACTGTATGGGGCGGAAACCTGGGAAACTACGAAAGCCATTTTCGAGAAAATAAAAGTGTTCATTACCATTTGTCTATACGAAAAATTTCGGATCCTTGAGTCAGACACGAGCAACACCCTACTATGCGAGAGAACAAACCAGATTTCAGAGCAGGAGGAAATCAGTAAGAAGCGATGGAATTGGATAGGACACACATTGAGGAAAGCGCTTAATGGCTTCAAGAGATAAGCCCTAAATTGGAGCCCTAAAGATCGAAAGGACACATTACGTTGATAAATGGAGACAGACATGAGAAAAATAAACAAAACTTGGAAGGAAATGGAAAGGGAGGCCGTGGACAGAGTACGTTGTAGAATGCTGACGTATGCTGCATAGGGGGAACAGGCTTAATAAAATAAGTAATGCGCTTTTGGGAAATGTCCAGACCACTATATCCATGTCGATGACAATGATTCGAACTTCTGGTTTCGTGTCCTGCTTGTTTTTTTTCTTAATGTAGTTTTTAAATCCAGTTTTGTCCACTACAATTTCGGTGTACAGACTCTTGATCAGGATATTCAGATCTCTCCGTAAACATTTCTCTACGGAAGACTACAGACTCCTATATAACGGATCTTTGCCGTCTTTGCCATGGCTATTGTTTGATGTATAGAGTTGAATGATTGTGGTGATGTTTTGCTCTCTGAGCTGAATGTTTTGGTTGGGAAAAATTTGGAACGCTTCACGATCTTGCGTAAGGGTTGAATGATACTCAGTAAAATTCTTCCCCTTGTTTTGAAAGATCCTGTTATGAGCCTGGAGCATTAAGTTTTCATTATTAGCTCCTTCTTTGGACCACAACAGTGCGATTCCATGCGCGTATGGCAGGGTACTCTTACGAATACTGTTACCTGATTCCACAGTATATATACATACCAAAAGCCAGCAACCTAACCTTAGTAGATTTTTATTCAGTCCTTGTTTAGCAGCTTACTGGCGCGGAGAGGTGAGCATTAATACAAACAAATTTTTCGCCATGGGCAGACTTATTATGATTCGGTGGCTGCTGTACCAAATGAACTTCAGATCGGCTTGAACTACCACTCTGAGCGATAGTTGAGTCTCGTTGTAGGTTAGTGAGACGTTGGTACTCATGAGCTATTTCATTAAGCGTAAGCTTCGGATCTTGCTCCAAAAGACTTAGTAGCCTTGTTCTAATATCACTGAACTTACTCGACTGGAGGCTGCAGATGAGTATAAGGGCTTTGAACTGATCTTCCGACAAAGACTTCAACCGAAAGCGTTCGCATTCACGGTTGACGATGCCCACATGCGTAAGAAAGTCATCATCTTCGTTCATAATTAGCTTCAAACATCGATATCGAGTATTAAACAGTGACGAGTTATCGCCAAAATGTTGACTTAAAGTCTGAACAGTCTCAGAAAATGAGCAATCTCGTGGGTTCAAAGGCAGGATCAAATTGCAGTACTTATCCGGCTCACTTGCGCCCAACTTTCGAAGTAGCAGCCGAACCTTCCAAGCATCATCTTGGTTGGCGAAATCAAATTTAAATAAATCTTCATAACATCGGAACCCCATGTCAAAAGTAACATTTGCATCAGGATCATAATGAAATTCAGCTATGCTATTTGCGATGCCGTCGACCGACGGAGATGTGGTTGCATTAGATGAGCTGGGCTGTATGGAAGGGGAAATCTTCATGTCTGTCAACATCTGCATCAGTTTCAGCTGCTGCTCAAGTAATAATTCAAGTTTGGCAGGATCCATATTTCTAAAACCACCGTCGCCAGTTGTTACGCTCGTTACTTAGTATGCTTGAAGCTATTACGAGTTTACCTTAGTCAGTAAACGTGAACGAGACTTTTACCAGCGTCCAGGTAGGCTACCTTGAATCCGAAAGTAAAGTAAGAAGGCTTTGTAAGCGTTGAAAGTATATTCTACAAACACCCAGCAATCAAGCCATTCGAAATGTAGTGCCTATGTAACGTATCTACGGAAATACTGACTTAAGACATGCTGTCCGAACCCTAACAGATGTATACGGCTAGCTCCTAACTTAGTAACTGAGGCTTTTACACATTCTTTTACGTGACAAACGAGAAAAACAGCTCCACCATAATTGACTGTTTTGTCCATTTCGTGTCCAATATGTGCGAAATCCATTCTCACTCATCCCTCCGCGACTTAGGACAAAATCGTTCCAAGTTTTTTTTCTTAAGACTAGTAACTATTTCATAAAGTTCGTTATGTTGAACTGGTATAATTTCGTTGATAGTTGGTCGACTAATTGCATCCAGTGATGTGAATGAATTGGAGGAACCTTTATTGGGACTTTCGAAGTTGATAACTCATAGTTTATTGAATTTCTTTTACAATTATTGTCTTCTAGTTGGTAGCCCATTTCTGGAGCAAGCTGATTTGACCTATCCTTTTTTCGGTTGGACCGGAATATTTTTCCCCTTGTGGTGAGTGTGCCTTATAAAGTGTCTTTATTTGCATTTATTTTCACTGTAGCCCTCTGCATCATTTTTTTGACGTCTGTCACGTCATTAAGATAAAGTTATTGTTTATTATCATTTTCCGATTTATAAAGCTCTAGAGCGGGTCACTACGTGACTGTCAACGGCACAAATACATTGAAGAAGTCCTTATTCCTGGAATCCAGTTTAACTCGTCACCATTCAGAAATAGAAGAGATTTCAGGTCGTAACTGTAGATATTTATGACATGATTCATGGACATTGAGGCTTTCGTGGTCCTCATTTTCAAATATAAAAATCTTTCAACATACATAAATTAAGTAATGAAATATTTTAGCTGTGTTCTCGTATTAATTTAAAATTCGTAGCTAACTCTGGGCCATTCAACTTAAGCTGTCATAATAAACTTATTCTGGTGTTGAATTCCATAAAAAGTTTTGATTCAGTCAATATAAAGGACAGATTACATGTCAGTTCAGTGTCTTTAAATGATGAAGCAGTCTAATAAAGAATTTTGGTTACCTGTCAAGTTTGTGATCATAGTGAATTTGGAATAAATACTAACACGGCTTTTATTATTTTGAAATACTCAATGGGTGCGTCATATGTTATTACTCGATTGATGAGTAACCCACAGTAAATTATGATAGGGTTTCAGCAAGTAACTTAGTAAAATGTGTTTTCCAATCCGGTAAGAAACATAAAGTTTCAGAAACGACATCATGTTTTAACTCACTGTTATTCTGAATAAGCCAATCATTAAAAAATCGCCCAAACAAGTGAAAGCTGACACTTATTATACCAATTTTCAGAGGGGACGGATGCAATGTACCTTCAGGCCACCGAGCGGTGACCTCAAAACTTATAAATCTGTCGGTATAATACTGTCTATGAGGCTGCATTTTATCCTTTACCTTTTTTTCCATCAACATGATATTAGGAAGGGGCACCAGCCCGTTGACTGAGACATGAAGAGATGGACAACCACTCTTTACTGTAAAGTAAGTGCAGATGATAAATATTTTTCATTCTCGATATCTTTTGGTAGGGTTAATCAGTCACGTTTCTTCGATCAACACAAACTCCGAGATGTCAAGTCACCCTCAACTAATTGGTCTGATTCATGTCCTCCGAAGGCGATGGTTAATTCTAATATTTTTCCAGTAGTAAAACGACTGAGAAAGTTCCATCGTGGTTCTATACTAGAACCTCTTTTTCCTAAGTTGCATGAACTTTCTGAAAGAGCGAGTACCATAAAGTTTTTCACGTTTCGTTGGCTGTATTATTCTTTGGACAGAAGCTTGCGTCAAGGTTATAAACCAGTATTTTAAGAGAATCAAAGTTGGGTGAATAACAACATTCTTCCTTTTTACATTTCAAAGTGCGAAAAGAACCACCTGAGACACATTGAAAACCATACATGCAACTTTGATAACTTCTCTTTTAAGTGTCTTAAATCGAAAAGTATACAAGATGCATATGCTAATTGTGACAAAAGCGTCTTTCGAGAAAACCTTGAACGGGTAACGTTAAAGCGCATATTTGGCCAGTTTGACAGTAAAACTTTCCACTTACTCTCCAGGAATTCTATCTAGTTTCATTTATAATTCGGAAATATAGCATTTCTTCGGTCATTCCGAAGGGACTCAAAAATACTGGAATGTATCCGGACCTGAGCTACAGAGTTAATTAGAGGACTCGAAACTAAACCTCATGGAGATCAGCTGAAGTCAGTTAACCTCTACATATTATAGTTCAATAATCCTCAAAAGTGACCTTTCAGTGACTTAAAGTACCCTAAATACTCTTCAATGACCACTCAAATGCTTACTTCAGCCCAGTCTCAACACAAGGCTTAGAGACCATACCCAGGAATTGGAGGCATACGTAGCAGAATGTATTGTAGACACACCTTCCACCCTTTACTGGTAGTATACTTACGGCATTCGGTGCCGATGTAGGTGGTTCAGAATACTTCCCAGGAGTCCTTCGAGAGATGTGACATATTCTCAAGCATTCAGGACAGGATTTCACCATAATTTACTAAAACTTCTCTTTTGCTGGTTAAATAGGCTTCATTAATACGAAATCCGGAATCCTGTTGGGCTAAATCTTCTTTCGCCGCTTGCATAAACATTAGAATATTTTTGGAAAGTTCCATCATTTGCTAAACAAAGTGTGAATCTACTTTTATATTATCCCTTCGGAGGAGGAACTATAGTGAAGAGGTTTTTCGTAAGTGTCGGATTTCAGTTTACTAAACTTTGGATAAACAGAAGACCGGGTTCTAACTTGAGTTTAGAATTTGTTATACGGCACTAAAAGGTAATCACACTTTAAAGAGAGCGATATTTGTTAGACTCGGTTGAGCGCCATTTCGAAGTTTATACGCGTCTGTTGCATTTATTATCCTTATATCTTAGTAGCATATGTTACTAATTTTAAACTTACCATTGGTAAATTCTATCAGGTTCTTTTATAAATAAATTTCCTTCGAATTTAGTTTACATGCTCATCGTACCTGACCTACCTTTTGGCTAAAGCTAAACGTTTCATTACTGTCACTCCAGTGAACCATGTTCAGTCACAATAATGTAAATGCATCTGAACTACGTATTTACATACATAACGCTTTTCAATTTCCGGACGTTAAGTAGTTTATATGTCAGCTGAATAATCATTTTTTTTGAAAACGTATGACCATACCAATTTATTTGACGCCGATATATTCTCACTGATAATCCGTCTATGCATTAATGCGTTTCTAGGCACAAAATACGGTGAATATAACTTGGTTTAATAGAGGGTCGTTGCTATATGCCCTATCGACATTCTCATCTTGGGCCAGGAACAAAGGCGACGATTTGTGCATTGTATCCTGTATTCGCATCGAGTTAACTGATTAAACTTCTCTTTTGTTCCACCTTTTTGATATGCTTATCTTTCAAGTACGGCCGACGAACGGATTTTCCACCCTTTATACGGTCATTACTGAGTAATCGCGGAAGTAAACCACAGAGTAGCAAGACAAGGGTTATCTCGAATTTAAGATCAACTCCTAATAAATCAGTAAACAAAGTCCTTTAGACCAATTTATTGCATGCCGCCACCAGTCCGTTTCTGCCAAACCCACTGTGCAAACGTGTGCAGTCCAGTTTTCTGTAATGAAGAGTACATCTACATTAACACCACCGGAAATGGTTCTGATATTTCGGTATTTCTGCGGACTTAGATCTCGACTTATGTATTTTTCTCCACTTATTTTATACCTTCTAGATTACACACTTGACCAGACAATCGCTTAAACCACTTGCTTGATGCAAATCTAAAAGTACAAGTTAACATCCTACCCACCAGATGAAATGTCCATATCAAGGTTCTTAGAAAGTGGAATTACTTCAGGTTTGGTTGTGTAGTTTTTGTTACTGTTATTTCTATTATGGTATTTCTTTTCTAAATCATTAGCTATTTCATAGCAGGCTACAAGTGTAAAGAAATTATTTGGTTTGTATTTCCTCTCTATTAATTAGCATTGTTCCTTTGCATATTTATAACAGCTGTTTTCCTATATCCAAATCATCACAACGGTCACATGTCCATGATTCGGATTTATCATTTAAGTTTACCCGAGTTCGTCACGATATTTCATCGAGAATCTGTCTCATTTCTACTATTTTCAGTGGTTAGGTATCATACTTTAGCGCCGATTAAAGCGTACTACCTATACTCAGTAAGCGCTCTAATAATGTCTGAAAGGCCGTAAATTGTCTGAAATACTGATTTAATAGAATTCACGTGAATCAGATGACGGAAAACAAAATAAAAAGGGAGCATCCGGAAGCATTGACTTTTATCAGTATATGAGTAAAAAATGTAAAAACGAGGGAAGTTCCACCGAAAGATCTGGAGTCCAGAAATAAGAATATGCGAGTCAATGGGGTTAGTCTTATACCATATCATATTCCTGATATTACTGCTTCGATTGGCGATCGGTATCTTCGCGCATCATTTTGCGACCAAACCAGAACATGGCAGAAATCCATGAGGTCACTGACAAGTAAACTGAACCATGTTGTTAGGTGTCAACTACCTGGTTGGGGTCGGCGAAACGATAGTAACCGACGCTTAGAGACCTTGAATGACATGGCTCAAAATCGTTTTCAATGGCATCGGTGTGTCCACTCTTTGTGTTTTCCCAAATTCTACTCTGAATTCCTCATAACCTTCATCTTTTTCTTCATAAATTTATTTTACTATTTATTTACTATACTCCTCGAATAGCATCTTCAAACCCTAACTTTTCCGACTTCTGCTCATACTTCTACTACCTTTACAATTTTGGGATTTGGATTAACGATTTCATCTCCGTGCTAATGTGGTATAGCAACCTGAACTGACATACGCATTTGCGAAGTTCTACTTGGTTGCTAGATCACTGTACCAATTTGTTGTCGTCATATATCTACCATTGACTTTATTCCAACCTGCACCCGTACTAGCCGGTGTATTAAAAATCTAGCTTACAGCATCATTTTAAGTGTGTATTTATAAAGTTTATCATACATGGCCAGTGAGAGTAGATATTCGTAGGTTACTTGTTTTCGATCAAAGTTGTCTTAGAAGCTTTGCTCGTATATCATGGGGACACCCGAGTG